AAAAAATAGAGTATTATGGAATTAAAGGGAATATTTTAATGATTCTTAAAAGTTATTTAAGCAACCGTAAACAGTTTGTTTACAGTAATACGACTGTCTCTTCCAATTTATTAAATATAACATGTGGGGTCCCTCAAGGTTCTATACTAGGACCTCTTCTCTTTTTAATTTACATTAATGATCTCCCTAAAGCCTCAAATTTAATGACGGTCATGTTTGCCGACGATACAAATCTTTTTTTAGCTCATAACAACATAACAACATTATTCCATAATATGAATATTGAATTAACAAAAGTTTCTGACTGGTTTAAAGCGAATAAGCTGTCACTAAATGTTGAAAAAACTAAATGGATACTTTTTCATCAAACTTCAAAAAAAAAGCTACTACCTCCTGTGATGCCCTTACTTTTTATTGACAAAGTTCAAATAAAAAGAGAACAAACTACTAACTTTTTAGGAATAAATATTGATGAAAACCTTAGTTGGAAGTATCACATCGATTTATTGTGCAACAAAGTTGCTCGAAATATAGGAGTAATGTACAAGGCTAGAAATACTTTAAATAAACACAGTTTAACACAATTATATTTCTCTTTAATCCATTGCCATATAAATTATGCAAATATTGCTTGGGGCAATACCAATTAATCTAAACTGCTACCTCTTTATCGTCAGCAGAAGCATGTTGCTCGGCTTATCAATTATAAAGATCGATTTGCTCATGCCAAACCATTATTATTTCAAATGAAAATTCTTAATATTTATCAGCTAAATATTTTTAATATACTTTGTTTTATGTTCATGTGTAAAACCAACGAATCTCCAGTTTCTTTTCATAATCTATATACCTTAAAAGATAAAAATAAATATAACTTAAGAAATGATAATCAAATTCAGCAACCTTTATCTTTAACTAATTTTGGAAAGTCATGTATTTCATATCGAGGAGCTTTTCTATGGAACAAAATAGTTTTAAAAAATTTTGATTTTTCCCATGAATGGAATTATCTTTCATTCAAGAAAAAACTAAAAGAAATTGTTTTGTCTTTTGAAGACATTTTTTTATATTTTTAAATTCTTTTAAAAATGAATATAAAGTTTATAACATAAGGTAATATATAAATATTATATCTGATCCATAACTTATGTGTTTGTGGAAACAGTACTTTTTAAAATATTTTGTATTTATATATAAGAGTATCAACAATTTCTTTATTCCAATTTTATTTATATATTATTACGAAATTTACGTTTTCGCTAATTTTTAATACGACATTGTTTAGATTTTTTACTTCATGTTAATTTAATGTACTTAATATTCACGAGCGGTTCTCGATGATAAGACCTGAAGGTCTTCTGCGAGTCTCCGCGTTCTTTCTTTTTTGTATATATTTTCTTTTATTGTATAACGATTTTTATCTCAACTATCTTATTGTATAACTATATTGAATATTCAAGAAAAGAACAAAAAAAAAAAAAAAAAAAAAAATATCGCATGGTATCCTGATTTGACAAATCAAAAAAAATATAAGAACTTTTTAACTATTTTTAACTTTCCATAAGTTGAATTTTTATAGTTCAACAAATTTAAATAAACACACTTTATTATTACAAAAGCACAATACAAATATAACGAATAAATTTTTATTTTTTTTCCCATTATTGTTGTTATTATTGTTGTTGTTATTGCTATTTTTATTATATAATTTATTACTATAAGTTAGTTTTAATAGTTAAAATTAGTTTCCTACTACTTTTTAATAAACACGCCAGTAATGGTCACAATATATAAAGTTGTATTTGCAATATAGGCTTTATAATCATCTAGTATCAAATAATATTCTGTACAACAAACAATTTGGGTTTAAAAAAAATCATTCTACGGATCACGCGGTAATTGAGCTTGTAAACCATATATCGGATGCTTTTGATAAAGATTATTTTACCTTAGGAGTTTTCATTGATTTATCCAAAGCATTTGACACTGTCAATCATGAAATCCTTATAAAAAAATTAAAACTTTATGGAGTAAACAACTTAAACTTACTTTGGTTTAAAAACTACTTGACTAACAGAAAACAATGCATAACCTATGAAACAAATGAAACCAAAAAAAAGCTTATAAATTGTGGGGTTCCTCAAGGATCTATCTTAGGACCATTATTGTTTCTAGTATATATAAACGACTTATTTTTAGCATTTAAAAAATTATATCTTATATTGTTTGCTGACGACTCCAATCTGTTTTATTCACACAGAGATATAAAAATTCTCTTCAAAATTTTTAATGAAAAATTATCTAAAGTAAATGAATGGTTTATAAGTAACCGCCTTTCACTTAATGTAGATAAAACTAAATTCATCCTGTTCTACAAACCAAATAAAATTGATAACATTCCACTTAAACTGCCAAATCTTTTATTCAATAAAACAGATGTAAAAAGGTAATCTACTGTTAATTTTTTAGGCGTAATTCTTGATGAAAATTTGTCATGGAAGTTTCACATCCAATCTATTGAAAGTAAAATCTCTTATAATATTTCCGTACTTTATAAAACAAAACCATTTTTAAACGCAAAAGCTCTAATTATTCACAGCTATCTTTCTTACTGCAACATTGCATGGGGAAGTACGAATTACGGAAAACTCAAAAAACTTTATAGTAAACAAAAGCATGTTTGTAGGATTGTATTTGGGGCAAACAGAACTGTTTATTGCGAACCACTATTAAATCGTCTCAAGGCCTTAAACATTTATAAACTAAACATTTACCAAACATTACTTTTCATGTTTAAAATGAAACATGGAATATCTCCACTTATATTTCAATCTTATTTTAGCAAAATATCTCATAAGTATCCAACAAAGTTTTCAGAGGATAACTTTATTTTAAAATAAGTTCTTATCAAATAACTTTTTTATGGAAAAATTTTATTAAAAACTTTAATAAAGAACACTACTCTTTAGAAAAATTTAAAACAGTTTCTAAAAGAATCTTACTTCAATTAGATTTTAATTCAATAGACTTTAAGTATTTTTTTTAAAAGGAAATTTTAAAATAGAAACAAACGCTCCCATTATCATTAAATATATTTTGTTATATGTATCAAATATATTTGTATTAGTATACAAAACTTTCTTTACTTTTAAATTTTAATATAAATGTCATTTTATTATTTGACAAAAGTTATGTACTCTTTAACGTTTTTTTGTATATTTTATTTATATTTGTTTATAAACACGGGCAATTTGTAAACGGGGCTCGGCGATAAGACAGTCATTGTCTTCTTCTTGCTCCGGCCAATTTTTATAAATGTAATATGTCTATATTGTAAATATATGAAACGGCAAAAAAAAAAAAAAAAAAAAAAAAAAAAAACCTTGTTCATAACTACTTATTGCGTTTAATAATGAATTAGTTTCACTTTTAACCATTAATTCAGTTGCCTTTTCATTTACTTCTTCTGATGTTTCATATACTTTTTCTAAAGTTTTATAGACGTCTTTTGAAGTTTCATGAACGTCTTCTAAAGTTTTATATACTTCTACTAAAGTTTAATATATTTCTACTTGTATCTGTCCCTTGTTTACAATAAATACTTTGCAGTGATTTAAAATAATAATTCAACGATTTATTGAATTCAAAAATAAGAAGTAAACACAATGTACTGTACGAGAAAAATATAATTAATATTGGTAATTTTTTTTTTACATTGCAGAGAATTAAAATTAAAATGTAGGCAACACTTAGTGTAAAAAGGGCTTTGGGATTTACAATTCGAAATACGTCTCCTTAACATTTTCCAACCATACTTGACCCAATAGGCCGGGTGAATAAAAAATAAATAATTGCTTTAACTCGTTTTTGGAGTGATTGTTTAGCTTTCGCGAATAAAAATTTTAGCAAACTAGCTCAAATTTTTATTCACGTAAAGCGAAGCAGTTTACTTCAATAACGCTGATAAATTGTTCAGCTTTACGTGAATAAAATTTTGAGCAAAATTAACAAAGTTTTTTATTCACGTAAAGCTGACCAATTAAGGAGTAAAAGCATATTCTTGTTTTTATTCACCCGGTCTAATGTCATATGCTTGACCTCTACAGTCTCTAATATTTATGACATATAGTTGTAATTATTTAATGAAAACTCTTTAATATTTAACATTAAAAAATATTTAACCCAGTAGTAGAATTGAGAAATATGAAATCAAGAAAATATTCTTGTAATGGTTGGATCAGTTTCATTGCTTTCTTTTATATTTACGAGGATTAGGCTGCTCTTGATGTCCAATATCTGGTGTACAATCCGTTACGATAGTGAATTATTTTGCTGCTTGTATCAAGCTTATTTTTTTTGCCATATTTCATATTCCATAATTTTAAAGAGTTCGTTTTTATTACGGCCTAAATAACGCATACGAGTTTCTTTAATTCTTCTCAAACATTCCTCCATTACCGGTTTAAATTTTGCTAGCATTTAAATAATAGCAAAAAGTTTTTTTCACGTAATAGTTTTTTTAAGCTTTTTGCTATAAAAAGGGTGCCAAGTTCTCAACGCCCCCACGGCGCCGTGGGAGCTCTGCAACCGCAGTAACAATTCGAAAAAATCTATATTTTTAAAACATAGGAGGGATAACTTTAAAGACTTGTTAGTAAATTCTAAACTTGTCTAAATAGTCCAAAAAAAGTAGTGGTGTAATTTTTTTGTTAGAAATCTGTTGAAAAATTGTATTTTGAAATAAATTACAATCGTGTAAAAATAAATAATTAGAAAATTTAAAAAAAAAGTTCAATTGAAGGTCATTTACAAGTCATTTACATGTTTCGTTTATATATATATATATATATATATATATATATATATATATATATATATATATATATATATATATATATATATATATATATATATATATATATATATATATATATATATATATATATATATATATATATAAACAAAAGAAATATTTTGTAACATATATTATATATTACAAAAGTACTCATTTCTTAAATTTTTTTCAAGTTTTTATTTTATAATCTATATATTAAATTAACTTTTTATAGTCGAGAGGCAACTGATAAACATCTAGTTATTTTGCAATTTTGGAATGTTTTTATTCGTATTACTTTTGTGTTTAAGGTGTTTAATGTTGCATTTTCAAGTTTAGCTCACAATATAATACTAATAATTAGATACATCGGTTGAGATATTTATTATAATCTTCATTAGCTTCATAATTCTTTATTATTTTTCTGAAAGTATGCCTGATAACTTTTTTATGCTGGGTATCTTTTTTGTAGGCATTGCAATTTTTTGTATCCTTGGTAGGCTTTAAATTTTTGGCAATGCTTCATATACTAAGCACATCATATACTTAATATGCTTTTTCATGATAAATAGTTTTTCATTTTATTTATTGTTTTTTTCCGTGAAAAATAAAGATTTTTAACGTTGGTTCCATTGACGGATTAACAAAGGTCGACGCAAGGTGAACAGCGGCAACACCTTCGAAATATATGGCAATAACCAAATGCATAGATTGCTTGATAAGTATTTGTCCAAGCTGCGTAAAAGCAAATAAAGTTTATATAAATTTTCGTTTGTTTTAAGCTTCTAAATTTAAATAACAATTTTAAAATGTTTGGAAAGTTTTTTTATTTGTTATACATTTTTTTGTTTTATATTTGTTATACAATTACCTTCACAACTTTTACTTAACAATTGGTTAAGCTTTAATAATGATCGATTTCATCTATAATCTTGCGCACTTCAGAAAATTCACTTTCATCTAATTGTTGGATAATTTCGGACACAGAATATGGATCTTGTTCCGAAAAAAGCAAAGGACGTGGTACTGAAATCAAAAAATAGTATATAGTTATAACAAATAAATATATATTTTAAAATAATTTAAATAATAAGTTGGCTTTTAAGTACCTGAATACATTTCTCTAAAAAAAAAATTTAAGCATACAAAATGAATTGAAAGTATGAACTATTTAAAGAAAATATCTAAAAAGCCAAATTTTTTAAAAACATTTTGTAAAATGCAAGCAGCGTTAAAAATGGAAACAGAAGTCGGAAATAAAAGTAAAAGTCAAAAAAACTAAGAAGTTTTTAAGACAATTAAATGAAGACTTAAAGCAAAGTTGATATTAATAAAATTGAAAAGAAAACACGAAAGATTTAAAAAAATAAAAGTTAAAGAACTAAGTGAAAAGAAACAAAGACTTAAAGACTTAAATAAGATAAAACAATTTTGTCTGGTAGCAGGTAAACTAGTACAACCTGTTCCATGTCACGCTGCTTTGTAAGATTTTCTCTTCAATGCAAAGACTAGGAAAAACAAACTCTGACTTAAAATATTTTAGGGCTCTTAGTTGATTAAAGACTTGAGATGTGTCTTGACAATCTCAATTAAAGACTTAAGATGGTGTCTCGATATCCTCAATTAAAGACTTAAGATGTTGTCTAAATAATTTTACTCATCAGAGAAACTGCTAGCTGTATTGAGCCTCTGATTTTTAAAAAAGTATTCTAGGCAAACAACTTAGAGGTAAGCAAAAAAATCATTGTCTACAGTATCATGCACTATCTGTAATACAAGTTATATAATATTTTAAAATAATTACCAAAATATGTTAAACATAAAATGCATCCCAACAATGTTTCCATCATTTAAAAATATTTTTGGTCTTTGAAATAACTTTTCATCAGTTGAATCGTATCGTTTACCAAAGTCACTTTACTTACACTTTGTAGGTCTAATTTGAACTCGACTTTTTCATCTTCGGATCTAAGTGTTGATTATTATTATCCTGGTTCGCAAAAACTGTAAGGAGCTACATACTTGACCTGAGCATATATTTACGCATCAATTCTCCTATTTGCTGTAAAATCAACATTGAATCATTTGACTATTCTTTTACGTTTAGCACCTTTTTACTCAATCACATTTCTCTTTTTTCTTTATTGTTATCCTTCTTCAAGACAACATTCTTTTAAAGTTACTTCTAATGACGTTAAATGTTTCTATACAGAAACATTTAACGTCATTTTGAGACCATCAGTTGAAACCAGGGCAAATATCATAACTGAAGCTAGATGTTCGGTTTTGAATGTATACATTACATGGTTTGGGACTGCTTGGATTGGTTGATGACTAATAAAAGATTGTTTTTACTGTTTGACACAGAATTAACAGCAAACAATTTTTTATCTGATAAGAAAATGGTTATTGATTTCTATAGAAATTAATTGTCTATGAAATTGTCTAATTGTCTATTGTCAAAGTCAAAAGTCAAAAGCCAGTATTAAAAGACATTAGATTTCCCTAATTGTCAATGAAAAAAGGTTTTAAAAGATTAAAGAAACTTCTGAGCCACTTAAAGTATACTTTAAGTGGCTCAGAAGTTTCTTTAATCTTTTAAAACCTTTTTTCATTGACAATTAGGGAAATCTAATGTCTTTTAATACTGGCTTTTGACTTTGCTTTAATCCTTTTTGAACACGTTTCTGATGGTGTGCTTACAGTACCGCTTCGAAGAGATCTTGAAGGAGAGGGGGGTGACATATTTGCTCTTTGCCGTATAAGACCTAGAAAATTTTTTTTACTCACTATGATCTGAAAAAAAAAAAAAATGCCTTGTTGACCGACATTTGCCGGCTGCCAAATTATAGATCTAATTTTGCCTACTATAGTGTCCAATTTTCCAACTAATAAGATTCGTAGGGGGGTTATACACCCCCTCGGGACGTATCAGTGTACTTACTCACTGAGAGCTCTTTAGCCATTTTCCCCCATGATCTTACTGGATTCCAAGAACTTCGGCCGTTGACATCCTTGATTAACTGAGGAGTTTGAACTGATCTCTTTAAACCACTGCCAAGCTTTCTCTTAACACATCAAGTCATTTGAAAACGTTTAATCACAATGCAGACAGTATTTAGAGGCTTATTTAGCTTTTTGGAAATATCTTCAAGCGTGGTGCTATGTATGACCTGGTCAACAATTGGTTTCATTTTACTACTCATTTCAACTTTTTGGTTTATTTTTATTTTCAAATTTTTATGTACCAACAAAAACAAAAATAACAACAAAACAATTATTTTGAATTATAACCAAATTTAGTACGAGATTTGCAATCGCATACGGTAAATGCAAGTATTTGTAATAAAATATTTTTTTTGTCTGTATATATATATATATATATATATATATATATATATATATATATATATATATATATATATATATATATATATATATATATATATATATATATATATACATATATATATATATATATATATATATATATATATATATATATATATATATATATATATATATATATATACATATATATATACATACCAAAAAAAAAGTGCATGTATGAGAGTGAATGTGTGAACGATAAGATACAAATAAGTCGATAAGAAACATTTCTTGTGTAAGATTCTTTAATATACATAAAGTCATTGAACTAATAACATACTTTGTGTATAATTAATAAACATAATATACATAAGTCATTAAACAAATAACATGTTTTTTTATCGTGTTAAAATGCCGAATTTTCGCCTAAAAATGATGATTTCCAAAAAGCAATAGTTTTTGCTTTCATTTCAGAAAAGTGTTGCAGGTTCGCATTGAATGTATTTTGATGCATATAGTTATCATACTCTAACAGAAGCAACATACAAAAGATGTTTTCAATAGTTCAGAGATAATAGTTTTAATGTAAGAAATGAAAAACGTATACAATCACCTATAAATTTAGCAGCAATCCTAAAAGTTGCACAACAAACAATTTCTGGCCGTTTAAAAGTTATAAGAAAGATTCAAAATTGCAGAAAGTAAGAGCCAAATGAATTGAATTAAAGACTGATGGAAAACCAAAAAACACTTGTAAAATTTTATTTTTAAAATGCAGAAAAAAATTAGCTTTGCATAGAGTTGTGACCGGCAATCATTTATTGCATAGAGTTGTGACCGGCAATCATTTTAGGAATCATAAATGGAAAAAATGGTTAGTTAATCCGAGACAACCATCAAGATTACTTGCAAAACCGGATCAAAGTTTAATTAATGGGATTATAATCAGTAATAACAAATCCTTCAGCAACATGAGACATTAAAAGGTCGAAGAAAGTTATTTTTCTGTCATAATAAGGTCAAGGAAAGTAATATTTGTAAAAATTTTGTTAAGGATTACTACAAGTTAGAACATAGTATTTAGCTTCTTTTGAAACTTGTTTGGTTTTGGTAGAAGTTGTTAAGGTTCGGCAACACAAAGTGAGAAGTTGTTAATTAACTACTTAATAGACGAAGTGAGAACTTAATTAATTAACTGTTGTAGTTTATGGAGTTTTATAATTTTTTTTTTTCCAAATTAACGTCAATTGTCTTTCTAGATGCATTTTGATTGGCCAAAAAAATTATAAGCCTCAACTTTCCTATAAACCAACCCTGTTATAAGCTGACCACAAGGAGCACGAGTTCCTATGAGGTTTTATTTTAAATTTAAATTCTTTAAATAAGTTATTAAATTTCAGGAAATGCACATGTTTTTATCTCATCAACGGGTGGTTTTTATGTAAATTGTACTTTATTTGTTTTAGTAATCCTTTTTATTTTTTTGTACTTATGATGTGTATTTGACAAGCTACTTGCATTTTATGCTTTTGCTATTTTAATGTATGTATAACTAGCCCAATGTTTATAATAACCTCCTTCCTCCGTTAATATATGTATTTTGTAAACAGTGTGTTATAATAAATTTATTTTTGCATTTCTAACAATAAACAAGCCATCGATTAAATTAAATTTGAGTTTGATATTAAGTTAAAGGGCTTAATGTGATTGTGTACACTGTTTGTTGTAGATAATGTTGATTTTAAAAAAATGACTACTTGCTCTCGTTGCAATTGTAAAAAAATGTGAGAAACAACTTTCGTTATATATTTGGAAAATATACTGCAAAAAAGAAGCAAGGTATTAACAATAAACATATTAGAATGCTGTATACATATGATATGGCTGTTTTGACACCACAATATTGTTGTACTAGCTATTCTTTACGAATAAGCGATTGGTTAAATAGTAATTCTATATGATTTCCTATATGATTTTCTATATGCTTTCCTATATGATTTAATAATCTTAATCTTGCGTGTGTTACAAATTATTTTAATGATTGTTATTTTTGCTGCGTTAATCTTACTATCATTAGAGCTGGAAATATTTATATATGTCTCCATGGAGATATATTAAATCCCAATATTAATTTCACTTCTTGTACAATACGACACAGTTTAAATTACAATACCCAAAAGTTAGTATTACTTGCTTAAAACACACCGACGCTAAAGACACAGATGATGATCTATGGATTGTACATAAATAAATGAACCCTTTTATTAGCATCGGATTTAAATGAAGACAAAAAGAGAATAAAAAGAGAAATATTTGTTACAAAAAGGAGTTAGAACATCACTTTATGAAAAACAATGAAGGCCTAGACCGTTGTTACTAAATGACCATGTTACTAAAATTTTTATTTATGAATTCTTATTCTAATTTTACCCTCTAGAAAACATATGTGATGTATGTAACGAGCATGGTAAACAATTTTATCAAAATATCAAAGACATAGAAAGTTGTATGAAAGGAAAAATTTCAGCTTCATTATTTGTTGTCTACTGCTACACTTTAGTGTATGGTTAAAGGTCGTCTTACTAAAGATCTAGTGTGATGAGTCATTTTTAAGATGTTTCATGCAAGGCTATTTTACATACATACCAGTAATATCGCACTTTAATTAACTCATACATTTTCGATCCAAATGGTTATCATTAAAAGACATGAATATGTCATGATGATAAACATAATACTATGTTAAAAGAAAAACGGCTTCTTATTAAAATTCATGCATTATGCTTTCAAACAAATGCATAAATTGATTATTCCCTAAGGTTAACAAAGTTAAAAAAAAAAAAATTTTTTGCAAAAAGAATGTTATCTAATTTTATTAATTAGTGCTACCAGGCTATTTACCCAGCACTGAGTGTTCTTTGTTACTTTTAATATATAATATTAGGGTAAATTAGGGTAATATGAGCACCTTAGTAATATAATCATACTAAAATAATTCAAAGATGTAAGTACTGAAAATAAAGTTGCTTTGTATTTTTTAAATCAACAATAGGTGGTGATAACAAAAATTAGTATAACTAGCGTGAATTTATATACAGTAATTAGCGGATCTCATTTAATGAAACGCAGTTTAATTTTTTTGCATTGTTAATTATCATCACGCATGAATAATATATCTATGGCGCAAAATTTTCTTGCTAAAATAATGAATTTTAATTTTTTATAAAGAAAAATATGTTATCTAGATATCCGTTTTATTTTTGTTTGAAAAACAATGCATAGAAACATTTAGTCTTGACTTTATTTAAAGATATCGTTTTTGTGTAATATGAGCATGCTTAAATTACCCAGTGTTTTTATCAAAATTACCTAATTTAAAGTCCTAAAATTGCCGTGGTTTTAATTGCTTTTTTAATAAAGACAAAACAGTAAAAAATTTAAATATTTTACTAATACTAACTATTTGTAGTTTACACTAAAAAAATTTGTAATTTTAAAATTTTAAAGGTTTGAGTTTATAAAATAAAAAAAAATTAAAAAATAATTATTTTTTATGCATAAAATACAGTATTAAAATATATCATTTTTTATATGCATAAAATATAGTATTGTTTCAATAAAAAGTGGTTTAAAATTTGATCTTTTAATGATGAGTTTTGTTAATCTTTCTATTTCAAAAATTAGTTTTAATTGTATGGTTGGTATTTTTTTTACTTAATGTTATTTTTTTGAACTAATTTAAAGTGCTCATATTACCTAGTGGCCTGAGTAATATGAACACTTTTGCAACTTATTTAAAACCTCTGTGTTTTTAAGAAAATATTTTGGGTGCCCAAATATCTAATTGGATCATGAGTAGTGATTCCTGAAAATCGCTTATCCTCAAAAAATTTGGACCCAGCATTATTGTTTCTGAAAATATTCTAATTTTTGCTTTAGGTGCTCATAATATCCTAACATACTTTGAAAAATATATAATTTAAAGTTCCTAATTTTTTTCTCTAAATATTCCAGATGCATTTAGATGTGTCCCAAAATGATCATGTTCCGAAAACAATTCTGATAAGTTTCAACTCAACTATAGGCCAACCCTTTTATTAGTTGATTAGTGAGGAGCATGAGTTCCTGTAAGAAAGACATTTAGATTCCATTTAATAAATCTTGCAACTGCAGTTTGCAATGATTTGACAACCTTGGATTTTTTCATATGGCTTTCATCATATGCAGCAACTATAGGCTTTCATCATATGCAAGGTTTTCATCATATGCAGCAAGTATAGGTTCTATCTGACCTTTTGAAATAAAAACGTAAAACCTAAAATTTTAATTGAAACAAGACGCTCCAAATCACAACCATGAGTAAAAGCAGTGTTTTTTATTCAAAGCCGTATTTTGGACTAGTTTTGTTATGATTTATAGCAACATATGTTGGTCCAAAATATGCCGTTGCATCAGCAAACTTATCTGACCACTAACTTATCTGACCACTAAACAATCATGAACAGACAAACATAGTTATCAAGATGCTTTAAAGTTGGTGATTGCTTTGCTGAAGCTATTTAATCTATTAGTACTTTAGTTTTGTCGTCGAGATTTATATGAAGGGACAAATCTGTGCGAAACATTGAACAGATTTTATTCAAGTATTGCATGTACGCAAATTTAAACTCATGCATTTATATGCTTACTACAAACTGTATTTGCAGTTCTAATTTTATAAGTAATGCCTTAGTTTTAAGTTGTTTTTAAGCGCTTTTGATCTCAACAATTTTAAGTTAGTTATATTTTATGATGATGGACATTAACCAAGTTTTAGTAGGCTTTTGTTTCATCAAGTGTCTTACAACTCCTGTGATCTTCTTCGATTACTAGCAGCAATTCCTATTGATTCAAAGTTAACAATGGAATACTTTCAAATTCTCAAATTTGTACATATTACTCACAAAATTAAGTTCTTGAAACTTAATGACATTTTAAAGGTTTTTCATTAAAACTTGTTATAAGATATTTGGTGCGCTAATTAATTTAAAATTGAAACGAAAAAAAAAATCATTTTTTATATTTCATATTGTTCTGGGAAAGTATTAAGCAATACAAAAGTCTTGAGCAATACAAAATTATATTTACATTGAAAACCAGCATATTTCAGATTAAAGAACTTTCTGTTGTTTTTTTTAGGTGACAGCTAGGTAGTGTTTTTTTTAGGTGACAGCTAGGTTGCATCTGACATTCTTTAACGACCATCTGACATACCCTAGCAAGCATCTGACATGCCATAGTGACCATGTGAACTCTTTTATTTGGCATATAACTTCCTTGTAAACATATTCAAAAATGCTTTGTTAATTTATTTTTAAATTTAATTTTTCTGTTTCTTAACAAGCATGAAAAATTACTGAACCGTTTTCAAAATAAAATATTATAAAAAAAAGTGACTCAAAGATAATACAGTTAACAAAAGTACCATTCCCATCACAAAGAATCGATATCAGCATAAGTTCTGTAAATATCGATTTAAATATATAACAGGAAAATAAATAAGCAATATCAATATGAATAAAAGTTTAAACTATAAATTTAAATTGCTGTTTAAGCTATAAAAAGATTTCTTAATAGCAAAAAAATCCAGTTTAGCAAGATGCTTTTCTAGATATTTCTCTATTATTCTAGACATATCGTTTTCAGACATTTTTCTATTATTCTAGATATATCGTTCATTACTTATTGTTCCTGAGTCTAGAACAATAGATTGAAAAATTTTAAAATATGTATAGTTATACTAAAATTTAACAACTTGCAATATTATCTTGGCAATTTATAAGCGCTACATTAATTAATTTAAAGAGAATACTTATTTTAAATTTATTTTAATTTAAACTGAAAACTAATTAACCAAAGTGTTTTAATTAAAATAAGTAACTAAAACTTCTAAAATTTAAAAAAACTATACGTAATTAATACATATTTAAATTGGACTCAATGTTAACTAAGTGACGTGTTGTTAAAGTAGTTAATGCAGCAAAAAATTTGGCCAAACTGAACAAGCTTTTACATTGAGATATGAATGACTTGAAAAGTGGCCTATTGTATATGCTAATTGTGGACTAACTTATTAAATTAAAATCAGTAGTAGATAAAGGATTGGATTTTAGAGTTATCATTATGAAAATAGGAGAAAACTCTTACCTCTAGAGATAATACCTGGTATTCTGCATTTTTTGTTACTCACATTGTTTTCCATCAATGAGATCCAAAAAAAATTTATTTAATTACTTCTCAAAGTTTTTTTTTTAAATGAATATTGTGATTAACTGCATTAAATGTTAAATTTATAAATATTGTGATTAACTGCATCAAATGTTAATTTTATAAATATTGTGATTAACTGCATCAAATGTTAATTTTATAAATATTGTAAATAACTGCATCAAATTTTATAAATATTCTAACTTTTTTCATATTGCGTAACTGTCAAAGATTAAATTGAAAGTTTCCACAATGTATAAGTTAATATTTGTTGTTAATAATTATAATATAGTAATGGAAGAAAAAACATTGGTTTAATAACTACTTACTTTCAGACCTCCGAAAAATATGTACAGGTCTGTTAACAAAGGTAACCACCGGCAATACGTCTCTGTAAACACCAACATTTCCTGCCGGCGCTATATTGCATAATTTTCTATTGAAGCAGCGGATGTTAATACACTCTCTGCCAATTGTCATTGCAACATCGCATCGATCGCTTTTACAACATTTTTGCACGCATGCCTTTTGTGTATCAACTACTCCCATACTTTTAAATTCTCCAGAAAGAACTCCTCCTCGTAATGTACCCCCGTGTATTGTTAAGCCTTGTCTACATGTACCGTTATTGCTTGAAAATCTTCTCAAAACTTTTTCTCGAACTTAAAATGTTATATTTCAATCATTTACTAATATTAACAACAATATTATAATACCATAAAACATATAATTATTAAATTTATGGCCTTTTTAACTGGGCATGGAAAATTTTGCTCGTTAAAAGTAAACTTTATAATTGTTTTTATAATGATTAATTTTCCTTCAGCTAATTGCTTGATGACACTCGAAGAACATTCGTTTATATCTAAATAAAGCGTCAAAACCAGTAAACGCGAAATGAGAATATGTGTATTAAAGAACAAAAATGTAAAGTCAAGATGTGAAATAAATAGTTAGAATAATAAGGTGACAAAACTGGAAAGGTACATTCATTAACAAGTAATGCTTGTTAAGTAATTTTATTAACAAATTTAGTATAAATAAACAAGCGCAGCTAAAATTATATTATTTAGTAAGTGTAATTTTGACTTAGTGTTAGCCTGTTTTGAGCTTCTTTATATTATTTTCCGCAGTGCTCTGCAGTAAGACCGTAAGGTCTTATAGGAGCACCTTAATAACTTCAATTATTAAATTCTTACTATTTATTTCCTATTGGTCACACTTTCCATATTTGTTCACCTTGCAATTAGATGAAGGGTAAATTATTATACCATTATTTATTGTAAAAGTTTTTACAAATAAGCCTTCTTTTTAGGTATTGATTCGATCCCCTTAGGTTTCCAGTCAGTTATAACTAAGTATATAAATTTTTGCTTTTAGAGAAACCGTGCCATTGGGGTAAAGTGTGGCAAGTGTGAGTAGAAGTGGGACAAATAAATTTAAAACATTTTTTTTTAGGTGCCCCAAGAAGACCTAATGGTCTTGTCACAGCGCACCGTGGAAGTGCATTTAACCAGGAAGTTTACGCCTCCTTCCAAACCGTGACGCAAAGATATGTCCAGTGGTCGTTTCGATTCTGGATCTCCTGCTTATAAAGTGAGCGCTGTAACCACTACGCCACGGCCGCAGTGGTTACAGCGCTTTAAAACAAGTTATTAAATAGAAACTGATAAAATCATAAAATTACCTAATCGACATAAAAATGCTCGACTGGAAGAAGCGGTCCCACTTCTCCCGCGTCCCAAGGAAAGAAACGGTACTACTTCTCCCGGTCCCACTTCTCCCGCGTCCCACTTCTCTAAACTCTCAATAATGTTGGACGAAAATTCATGACTGCCATAAAAGCGGAAATTTTTTTTTTCAAAAGTTGTATTCAACTTATCTTAAATTTATTATTGAAACGAAATTTCCACCCACAAGTGGGTGGATATATAAACCTAACATAAATCAAAATATTGTTTATTAACAACATTTTGATTGACTTAAGTTCGGCAAAGTTTAACAGGTTCTGTAAGTCAGATAAAAAAATTTTCTTTTTCTTTTTAATAATTTTAGATTACTACAATATATACTACACCTATAAAAAATACATATATATATTTTTTAAAGATATATTCTATATAGAATATATCTTTAAAATATATATATATATACTTTATAGATGTAGTATATAATAATATATATTATTATATAATATATATTCTACTTTCACAAAAATGTTGCGACTTTTCTTTAATATTAGAAAAAGTTCTAGCCCAGCGCTATTAAACAAAAACTATATTTAGTTTGAGTCGAATTTCTAGTTTTTTTGTTTTTTTAATTTTATTTAGATGCCCCAAGAAGTGTATATATATATATATATATATATATATATATATATATATATATATATATATATATATATATATATATATATATATATATATATATATATATATATGTATATATATTAGAGGGTCCTAGAAAAAAAAAAAATTAATTTAACATTGTGCATATGTAAATCCTCCTTATTTGGTCCCAGTAGACTACCATAAAAATATCTGGGCTGTTTAGCTGAAGAAAGTGTTTTAGAAAAAAAACTGCTTATAAATTTTAATGAAATTTTTTTTCATTTTTTTATTGAAACTCTATGAACAGATTTTAAAAAACAATAAATTTTAATAAACAATAAATATCCTTGATTAGGATGTTGAAAAACATTAGCAGTATATATTGTATACTGCTACTAGACTCATAACTTAAATAGTATTCATTTAATTACTTAATTACAATTTTTACATATATGTAAAATATATATTAAAAAACTGTATATTTTGTGATCAATTCTGTTGTATTTTTTATTATAAAAACTAATATTAAATATGGATAGTGCAGGATATAATGGAAAAGCTAATGGAAGAAGAAATCTTTGTTTGTTGGAGTACCCTCTCCAAATATTTTCTCCAAATAGACTTCCAACCGGTATTTGTGGAAGTTTGTCGAAGAATTTACTGGATTAATTGGACTCATGCACTGCAATCAAAACATTGTCATCCAAAATTGGATGTCCTCTAACGAGTACAGGCAAGCTTAAATGCAGTGATGGTATGTGTTATGCTAATAGCAGAAACGAAATATCGAATGTGTGCATCATAAGAGTACTGGTTAACATTTGGAACAAAGCAGGCTTTAATGAAAATTTTATCATCAGTGAACGGTCGATTAAGTAAGCTACTAAATATAAAGTCTCTTGTCATAAAATTAAGTATTCTGTGAAACATATTTATCTATGAAATATGTTTACATATGAGTTTTGGTGACGGGTTTATTTAATGTTGTAATTTTTTAATTTAGGGCATTTCCTATACAAAAGGAAGACATTTTCAAGTTAATTAGCCAGGATCATAGAAGAAGTAAGGAGGCTGTAAAAGAGGATTCTATTTTTTTGAAGAGATGTTTGAAAGAGGACATGGTGAAGATGTCCTACAAAAATGACAAAATATTTGCTGAAATAATTTCTGAAGGTGAGGAAAACATGAAAAATATGCTGATGAAGATGATAGAAGAAAAACGACTGGAGGAGAGACTGAGAGCAAATATTGAGCAAAAAAAAGAAAACCAATTACTGGAAAAAGCAGCAGAAGAAGAAGCTTTGAGAAATTTTGAGTAGGAATTCTCCAGTGGAACAGATTATAATTCATACTTTAAGTCTCCTACTGCAAAGAAAAAAAAGCTATTTGATTCGACAAAGATTTGTCTTCAACTCAGTCTGAATGATGTTGAAAATTTTTTTTTCTGGGACACCCTAATATATACTAATATATACTTTTTTTCTGGGACACCCTAAATATATACATATATATATATATATATATATATATATATATATATATATATATATATATATATATATATATATATATATATATATATATATATATATATATATATATATATATATATATATATATATATATATATATAGTACTAAATGTATTATATATATATATATATATATATATATTTATATATACCCTAATATATATATATATATATATATATATATATATATATATATATATATATATATATATATATATATATATATATATATATATATATATATATATATATATATATATAGAGTACTAAATGTCTTATTTATATATATATATATATATATATATATATATATATATATATATATATATATATATATATATATATATTTATATATATATATATATATATATATATATTTATATATATATATATATATATATATATATATATATATATATATATATATATATATATATATGTATATAAACATATATATATATATATATATATATATATATATATATATATATATATATATATATATATATATATATTTAGTACTATATATATATATACATATATATATATATTTATATATATATATATATATATATATATATATATATATATATATACATATATGTATATATATATATATATATATATATATACACATATATATATATATATATATATATATATATATATATATATATATATATATATATATATATATATATAACATACATATATATATATATATATATATATATATATATATATATATATATATATATATATATATATATATATATATATATATATTAATATATATATATATATATACCTTGATTCAATACAACTAATAAAATATACCTTCTTTAATCTTTTGATATCTTCTTTGATTTATAGAATGATTTGAAGATTGATGTATATTTCTTTCATCAACACCAAAATGTTTTTTTTTGCTATTTTGAAACTTTTTGCTTAACGCATTTCCAACATTTTCGTATCTCCCAATTTTAGCTTGTGTGATAAGGTCTTGGAGCTGAGCTAGTGCATTTTTTTTTGGAAAAACAGTTTTCATTCCTTCAGATTTTTTTTTTTTAAATTCTTTAGATTTATGTTTTAAATTTAAACTTTTTTTTGAGTTAACTTTAATGTTATTTTTATAATTTCCTTGAATTTTCTCAAAAGAACTTTCAATTTTTTTTATAACATTGACAGTGCTTTTAGAGAAAATATTTTTTCTTGCATTGTAATTTTTTGGCGGAAAAAATTTGCTGCGATACAAAGCGTAGCGGACATATTGAGAATTAGAGGTTTTGGGTTTATTGTGGTTTAAACTCTTATTGGGTTGTGAATTAGCTTTATTCAATTTTATTTTATTGAAATGGTTGTGCTTTTCTTTGAATAAATTATTTTCTTTATTTGTTTGAAATAATTTTCTTGTTTTTGCTTTTCCTTCATTATCATCAGCTGCATTTATAGAGATATTATGGTTCGTATCCAATTTTTCCCATGGAATTGAAGCATGAGGCAACTTTTCGTTTAAAATTTTGTATTGTTTTTCATTGATATCTTTATTAATGCCCTGAATCACATTTTCTTCTTCTTTTTCTTTTTTATTGGCATAATCTGTGTTAATTTTTTTTTTAGTAAAGTTTGTTTCTTCTAGTTTGTCATTTTTATTATTTTCTTCTTTTTTTGCTTTTGTTTCAGAGATTTTGTCAGCCCGTGACGATTTTGTTTTAAAGAGTGTTGAATTGGAAAAGTTTTTGCTTGGAGATGAATTGTTTGGAAACATTCTGGATATCGGTGTGTTTTCTGAATATTGGGTGTTTTCTGATTGTGGCATAATATTTTTATGTGGGCCATTGTTCTTTGTTTTTATTGGAAATATTTTAGTCCCATTTGAAGTTTTCCACGATATATTTTTGTTCCCATTTTGATAGTTTTTGTTTTTTTCATTCTTTGTTCTAGATTTTCTAACTTTCTTTTTAGACACAGGTTTTAAAACGGCTTCTGGTTTTTCAATATTTTTTCTTTCAAAAAAATTTTCTTTTACTTTGAAAGCCTTATCTGAATACATATAATTTGAATTCTCTGGTTCATTAAATTCTTTAAAATCATTTAAAGCTTCATTATCAAAAATCTGATTTTGCTGAACTGGATCCTGATCTAAAATTTCTCCATTTATTTTACCTAACCCGTTTTCGTTTGTTTGGTAAAAATTTTTAAACTCTAAAGGATTTTTAAATGTTGGTTGATCATTGTAGGCATTACCTAAGCTTTCTTCTTCTGATAGATCGGCCATTAACATTTTACCTAGTTTTGTGTTTGCTGGAATTCCTGTATTTATTAAATGGGTTTTGAACATTTGATTTTTTCCGTCCGTATCAACATTTTCAAACTTTTCATTTGAACTATCAGGTAAAAAAGAAGAAAAAGGTATGTCATTAGATTCTAAAGTTTGATCTAGCTTGTTGTCTCTTGTATCTGATACTCTATTTTCACTATAACCTAAATAGTGAACTCTAGGATCAAAGTTTACCGTATCATATTTATTTTGTTTCCTTTCAAACGCATGCACAAAACCGTTAACTTGTTCTTGCTCTGTTTTTAAACTATCATCTTTGGGTTGTATAAGATCTCTGCTGATTGAGTCATAACTCTCTTGTATCTTTTTCGAGTCATAACTCTGTTGTACTCTTGTTTTAGTTTCAACGTTTTTCTTTTTAAATATTTGTTCATTATTAATTTCTTCTTCTTCAGAATACTTACCGTGATTATAATAACCATTATCCTTTAAGAAAGGCAAAAAACTTTTTTTAGAAGGTGTGTAAATTTTTAAAAATTCAATTTTAGGGTATAAACTTATTGGTGCTACTCGAAAAGTTTGATACGCATTTTCATTTTTCTCATCGTATTCTGATCCGTAAAGTCTTTTATCAGAAAAATCCATAGTTTCATTTTGTATGCGCGTAGTTTGTTCCCGAAAACCGGTAGCTTGATCCTGAAAACCTGTATTTTCAATTTGAAAATCTGTACTTATACTCTGAGTACCCGTTGTTTTGTTCTGAATATCAGTAGTTTTATCTTGAACATCTATAGTTTCATTCTGAACAACAGAAAATTTTTGGTCTGTAGATTCATTGTGGTTCATGAAGGTTTTATTAAAAAATGTTTCTTCTTTTGACTCTTCTTGTGTTTTTGCTATTCCCATGGTTGCAATAGGTTGACTTAACTGTCTTGTTTGAGGGGTTGGAGACATTGTTTCATTCAATATGTTGTTAGAGCTGTATGTTAGGTTTTCAGAATTGAGAGAATTTAAAAGTGGTTCTGAGGATGTTTTAAAACTATCACCTGGGATTTCCTTAAGCACTGTTTTGTTCAATGAATTTGAATTAATTGATAAGTTCATTTCAGTTGATTGATTTCTCCACCAGGTTTCATTTTTTAACGAAAAATCAACGGAGTTATTTCTTAACAATGTTTCAGCTGTTTTATTGATAATATCGAGCCAATACCTATCCTGTTCTAGAGCGTCCATCCTTTCAGCAAATTTTGAAATATTTTTAGTTTCTGTGATAAGGTTATTGATGTCACCGGAGCTTTGCTGATCTTGTAACTGACTTGTGAGATTGGATCCGTTGCCAGACAAAAGTTCGTCTTCTATCTCCATAAAAAACAAATCTTTTGTTGGTTTTTCTGTTGTTGACGCTTTGTTTTTTCTTTTTAAAAAGTGAGTAATATTTAATTTTTTTATTGAGGTGGATTCATCAAGCGCATCTTCAATTTTTTCAGCAGATGGATTGTACTCTGTGTCTTTACTGAACGCATCACCAGATCCTGAAAAAATTCCCTTTATATTTTTGAATGACTTATCTTCCTCCCCTGAATCTCCAGAATCAAAGCTGTCAGAATCACCCGAACTTTCAGATTCTCCAGAAATTTCTTTGCCAATATCTAATTTTGAAGTAGTAGACATTAAACTCCGATTTACCGAATTGTTAATGGCGTTCATTTGTAGACTATCAGTGCTTACTAAAAAATTAGAAACGTTACTGATTTTGCTACTACCGTTATCGTTAATGATTTTACGATTATCATTATCGCTAATGATTTTGCGACTATCTTTGTTACTGATTTTGCGATTATCTTTATCGTTACTGATTATGCTATTTTCTTTATCTTTTTTAAATTCGTTTGTCCTATTATCTAACTTTGATGATAATACTCCGTCTGGAGTTATGATAACATCAGTTTCATCTTCAACAGGATAAGTTGCATTATCCTGCTCGTTTTTAAACTCAGTAGATATTTCAGTAACAAAAGAATCCTGGGTTGGAGAAGAAATTCTCGCAGGGGAATATATTGTAAAGTTGCTGATAAATTCATTGTTTGAATTTAGCAGATCAATTCGTCTCCTCATTGTATGATTATTATATAATACTGTTGGAGCGTTATATGACATTGTTGGAGCGTCATACAACTTTAATGGTGCGTTATATAGCTTTGCTGAAGCGTTATGCAGCATTGTTGGAGAATTTTCAGCAAATTTTGTTTTATTTGAATAACTGTTATTTAGAGTTTTTGAGTCTTTTTGATAAACTTTATCATTACTGCAAAGATTATTAAGGTTATGATTATCATCAGTAATGCTAGTATTAAACTTTGTATGCTTATCTTTTTTGCTGTTATTTAGTTCTTTATTCTTAATAATACCTTTGTCGTTTAATCTTTTTGATTTAATTAGAAAATTATTAGTGATATTTTTACCTGATTGTTTCTTAATTTGAAATTTTTGACTATTTGTTGGCATACTTTTGTACTTACTTATATTTGCGGGTAGACTAAAGTTAAAAATTTGTGTTACATTTTTTTCCATCTTCTTTAATGGAGTGTAATTTGATAAATTGTTTTGTAAAAAATAATTAGCATGAGATAATTTTTTTGTTCTGTTGAAGTGTTTGAGATGGTCGTTTAAAGTTTTATTTTCATTGCTAATATTTTTTGAAGAAGAGAGGTTTTGCATCAACTTAAACGCGTTTAATGAAGTATTTTTCAACGAAGAATGGTATATTGTGCTATCTAGTTTAGTGTTGTTTTCCTTCTTATATTGCTGTTTACTGTTATTTGATTTAAAGTTTAAATTCTCTATTTGATTTTTAAATTTGTTCTCGTCTTCATGTTTTTTAACACCAGCGTTGTTATTTTTTGTCAATAAACTATCGCCAGATTCAAAGTCGCTGTCTGAAAACTCCGACTCTGTTTCTTCATTCTCTAGATCTTTTGACGATCCTTCTGAATCATCTGTTTCTAAGCTAGAATCTGCGATTTTTTCGTTTTCCAATGTATCATTTCCAACCGTTATTCCACTACCACTTGTTAGATCATTTATATCATCACCTGATTCTATTAGCGCCTCGTCGAGTTCGTCCTCTTCACGTTCTATGCGTGATTGTGGACTTTCCCACTTCTTCTCATTTTTTTGGTACAGCACATGCTGTATATTTGTATGCTGCCCTGAGTTAAAATATTGTTTATTTTATAAATAGTTTATATATAGTTTAGAAAAAATATAAAAAAATAAGTAGGGATTGTAGGGTAATATGAGCATCATAAACGAGTATTTTTAAAAATATGCTGGATCCAAATTTTTTGCAAATAAACAATTTTTAGCGATCCCTACTTGTGATTCACTAAGATATTCGGACACCCGAACTTTTTTTTTAAAAACACAGAGATTTTAAAAAGTAGCAGAAGTGCTCATATTACCCAGACCTCTTTGTAATATGAGCACTTTAAATAAGCTCAAAAAAATAGTATTAATTAAGTAAAAGAATACTAACCTCACATCTAGAACTAATTTTTGGCATATAATGATTTGTTATAAACAAAAACTATTATTAAAAAATCAAATTTTAGGGCTTTTTTGTTGAAATAATACTACTATGTTTTCCGCAACAAAAAATTAAAAATTAGTTTATTATTTTTTCAATTTTATTAACTTGAACCTTTAAACTATAAAAATTCAAATTTTTTGATTTTAAATTACAGAAAAATATTTAATATTGCACTAATTGTACTGATTCCTGTTATCACCACATAAAGTGGATTCAAAAAATACAATGCAACTTCAACTTCACTGCTTATATCTGAGAAATATTTAAGCATGCTCATATTACCAGGGTGCTCATATTACCCTAACCTACTCTAAATTAAGTTAATTGAAATAAGAAAAACATTAAAAAAATAAGAAAAATTAAGTTTAGTAAGAAAAAAATAAAAAAAATAAGTAAATTAAGATAAGTGAGATTAAAAATAAATACAAAATACGAAAACTAGTTTAAACGAGATTAGAAAAAAAGTAAAAAAAAATACTAGTATAAAATTTACGCAATTCAATTGACTTTAAAACTTTTAAAATTGAGTTTAAAAATTAAAATTGATTAGAATTAAATAATATTTATACTTTTGCATTTTATGCTTTATTTAAATAAACCTTTCCGATGTGACGCAGTGTATTATTTGAGCCGGTGAGAACCAAAATGGTATAAGTCAACGTTTCCTCAATTTGAGATATTAAAGATTTTAATAGATTTAGCGTAGAGAAAACCCTACAAACTAAAAGTTAAAAAACAGTTGCCAGTTTCTTTACATAAACTTACACCTTACACCAGTCTCAAGTGATGCCACCTTACACAAGTCTCAAATTTAACACAATGATGCTTTGTAATCATAAATATTGGCTCAACTCCATTTTATTTTTCACTTGCTGGTTCTCACCAGTTCATATCTCAATTTTCTTTTTGTTCTAATAAAATTGTTTTCATTTTTATAATTAAATTGTTTTTTTAACAAGCTTTTCTTTGTTTTGTAAGTACTGATTTTGTTTCTCAAACGCTGTAAGAAACTTTGTGTAAACATTGTTTCTCTTCGTTTGCGTCTAAAGCAGCGCTTTTATAAAACCACATGTGCGGTATTAAATTTTCATATTTTTATCATTTTAATATTTTTAGAATTATCTTTAATTTCATATCCTTCAATGAAGCTGAAAAAACCAGAAACCTAATTAAATTATGCAGTAATAATTATGTATCTGTTGCAATGAACTTTCACGTAATACAGTTAATTTTTGCGTGGGGCAATAACTTTCACGTGGTACAATGAACTTTTACGTGGTACAATGAACTTTCACTTGGTACAATGAACGTCCATGGCTTTTTTAATAACCATAAAACATCTTTAATGATGACAATTTAATTCTATGATAGATTTAACTTAACAAAAATATACATGATACATTAATTAGTTATCAAAATAACGTCTGCGTTTCTAAAACCAATCGGCCCGACACTTTGCACCCTACACAACACGATATGAATACAACATTGAAAAGTATTTTTACCTTTTTTTGTTAACCTGCAAGAAAATAAATGAAAGAATAACTAGATTATTACAAAAAGTAACATAAAAAGCAAGAAGTCATCTATTAGTAGTTTGAAACGGTCTCAAGTAAACAGAACATTAACTCAATAAGTTGCTTTTATTTACAAAATCCTTCTTAAAAGAAGAAACATTTATATCACATAACACCCTCTAAGTAGTCAATTTTTAAAGTCTAAATATTTTGGACCGCAAAAAAAAGGTTTCATGAATCACGTTGTAGATTTAAACGTAAACTTTATTTCATTACCCAATAAGCAAAACGCGTGTGTATAATATGCCAATGGTTATAACTCATTGAAATAACACGTGTGTTTAATATGCTAATGATTGTAACTCTATTACGTATGCTTTTGCCATATTGGATCTTTTGACAGTACCTAATATGAACTGCCATTCATATTAGCTACAATCACTTTTTTTTTTATAAATATGCAAAAACCGGATTAAATTTGCCACAAATAATTTGCAGTATAACTGTGATTGTTATTGTAGTTGTGTCAAGCATTTTATGCAACAAATACTTCATATTTAAGGAAAATATTTATTCAAAACTCTTTATTCAAAAAAATATTTATTCAAAACTCTTTATTCAAAAAAATATTTATTCAAAAAAATATTTATTCAAAAAAATATTTATTCAAAAAAATATTTATTCAAAAAAATATTTATTCAAAAAAATATTTATTCAAAAAATTTGTGTGATGATCCTTTAAAAACTACAAAAAACTACAAATTAAAAAATACAAAAATTTCAAAAAACTTTCAAAAATTTCAAGCAAGTGTAATTAGGGTTTCCAGATGCCTTTGAGTATTTTCAGGGCCGGGTAATTCGTGACCTTCCGGCACTTTAAGCTTCCTGGCCTCTGTTGGCCTCCTAGCATTCAAATTTAACAGCGATTTAAATTTAAAAAATCTTTGTAGTTGTTGCGTTATGGCTTTATGATGTATTTTCATTTGTATTTAAACAAGATTCTCGCGTTATATATTATTAAAAACACGTTGCAACTAGTATAGGTTTTAAAATACCTTTCGTCTGCATTTTATGCTTGTAAATGCTGATTTTAGGTAGATTGGAATCTAATACCCGGCTTTCTATTTGAAAAAAAAATCTAAAAGACGCTCATGGAAAAAGCTCTAAAAGGAGAACATTCGTTCAATAAGAAAAGTTAAGATCAGTAGGATATCGGTCAACAAGTTGTTGTGCATTGTAAGTAATCTCCAAGATATCCATGCTGCGTAGATTCGCAAGAAAACCAAATAGACAGTTCAATTCAAAACAGACTTTCTTTTTTTTATCTATATCACTCATTATTTTATCCTTGATCTTTAACGTCGGTAATAATAGTGAGCAACATAGGAAATCTATTCGACGAGAACGTTGTCCTCTTTAATTCTTGCTTGTAAACCAAAGTAGATACTAGCATTGTCGCATGACTGGCCACAGCCATTTGAATGTTGATCACATACTAATCTAACTTTTTCAAAACAATTTCAAACATGGAAGTTGTAAAATGATTATGCATGGGAATAAATGCTAAGAACCACCAAAGTGGTTTTTTGTTTTGTACATTGCGAGTACAATCAATGATGAACGTTACTTAAGGATGATCATATTACCTATAAATACCATAACCTCGGCGGTTAAGTGAATGAGCTATTTGCAAATCTTTTTAGATAAGTATGACATACAATTTTTTCCTATGTTTCCAATATTGGGCAAGGAAAGGATCAAATTTTACTAATAGCTCAATACATCCAATAGTTTTTCGTCTGACCGCGGAATGATAATCCTATGAGAATAAGCAATGAATAAAGTATCCAAGTACTTTAAATTTCTTTTTCACTATTATGTTTGAACTCAAAAGTTCTTTCCAGTCGTTTAAAAAATAAAACGTCTAGTTTGCAATACGTCGTATGCACTGTTATGCAAAGATTAAAAATCTCTGGGGAATGAGAGGAGGTCAAGGATAGAGGCCAGTAATAATATTTCTTTTAAATTTATCTCTCTCAAATATTCACTTAAATGCTCTGGACCCTTGAACTCCGTGGCCTCCCGGCAAGTGTCCAGTGTGTCCAGTGGTTAAACCGGCACTGAGTATTTTAGATGCTTTTTGAGTATTCCAGATGCCTTTTGAGTATTTAAAAATTAGATAAAATTCTATTTGAATGACTAATTAAAATTGTTAGGCATTCCAGACATCCCCTGGTTGAAAAAATAAAACAGAATCGTTTCTGCTTCAAAAGTTGTTATAGTTACTGCTTTAAAAATGGACTATTTATATTTTTAATATAACTAAACTAATACATTATATAATAACTTTTCAATTATAATTTTAGCCTAACTGTAAAAGCTAAATTTGAAATAATTTCATGCAAAATTAGGATTTTATTAATAAAATTATTAATACTCTTTTTATATGTATTATTATAAAATTATTTTTAAATAGTGAAAGTATCCTTTTCTTAGCAAACGCGCGCACGCTGCTTTTTGCGCATATCAGTATATACTCTGGTAAAACAGTTCCACAGATCTACCGGTAAACCGGTATGTTAGCTTTCATTCGGTAATTTGGTAATGATAAACTTTATTATTATTACTAAACATGGTCAAATTTACAATTAAAATTTTGCGCCTAATCTGTTTTGTTTATTTAGCGAAACAAGGTTTCAAAATGATAGTATTTAAAAGGTATTAAACACCTTTTTATGGTTGTGTTTATGTCGTTTGTTAGCGTGATTTTATCGAAAAGACTCCAGTAAGTCATAGATAGTATGCTGTTAAATAAACTTGTAATGAAAGTTTCCCTTGCGCCGAATATAGAAAAGACTTTTAAATTTTGCTTGTCGAATCAGTATAAAGGTACGAATTTGAAATGAAAATAGTTATATAAAACTTATTGTAAAGTTTTATAAAAAAACAATGAAGGTAAGGTTTAGCTTTTTTTTTTTAAATGTATTGTTAACCATGAAAAGATAAACAATATCAGTTTTTTATGTATACATAATAATATAAAAATATTTTAACATACTAGCAAAATTGTAACTGACACCTTTATTTACTTTTTCATTTTCAT